TTCTTTTTTTGAGACAGTGTCTTGCTCTGTTGCCCAGGCTAGAGTGCAGTGGCATGATCATAGATCACTGCAACCTCCAACTCCTTGGCTCAAGCACCTCAACCTCTTAAGTTGACTCAACCAAGTCAACTCCTTGGCTCAAGCACCTCAGCCTCTTAAGTGACTAGGACTATAGACACATGTCACTGTGCCTGGCTAATTTTTTTAAGTCACCCAGGCTGCAGTACAGTGGCACAAGCATAGCTCACCACAGCCTCTAATTCCTGGGCTCATGCAATCCCCTCGCCTCATCCCCCCAAGTAGCTGAGAGTACAGGTATACTCCACTATGCCTGGCTAATTTAAAATATATATATTTAGATATGGGGTCTCACTCTGCTGCCCAGGCTGGTCTTGAACTCTTGGGCTTAAGTGATCCTCCCACCTCAGCCTACCATGTAGCTGGGATTACAGTTGCAAGCCATTGTATCTGGCTATACTTTGTTTTATTTATACTTACAAAGCAGATGCTAAACATTCTTATGCAAGTTTTGTTGAAGTCTCATATATATTATAATGGCCTTGACTAACTTTCTTTAAGTCTTTTTTTTTTTTTTTTTTTTGAGACGGAGTCTCAATCTGTCGTCCAGGCTGGAGTGCAGTGGTGCGATCTCGACTCACTGCTACCTCCGCCTCCCGGGTTCATTCCATTCTCCTGCTGGGTAGCTAGGACTACAGGCACCTGCCACAATGCCCGGCTAATTTTTTTGTGTGTGTTTTTGGTAGAGACGGGATTTCACCATGTTAGCCAGGATGGTCTCGATCTCCTGACCTCATGATCCGCCCACCTTGGCCTTCCAAAGTGCTGGGATTACAGGCATGAGCCACTGCACCTGGCCAACTCTTTTTTTTTTTTTTTTTTTTGAGACAGAGTCTCGCTTTGTCACCCAGGCTGGAGTGCAGTGGCATGATCTTGGCTCACTGCAACCTCTGCCCCCCGATTTCAAGCAATTCTTCTGCCTCAGCCTCCCGAGTAGTTGGGATTACAGGTGTCTGCTACCATGCTTGCCTAATTTTGTATTTTTAGTAGAGAAGGGGTTTCACCATCTTGGCCAGGCAGGTGTTGAACTCCTGACCTCATGATCCACTCACCTCAGCCTCCCAAAGTGCTGGGATTACAGGCATGAGCCACAGTGCCCTGCCAACTCTTTTTAATTTAAGAAGAATTTAACTCTTTAAGGGATCTTCTTAAATTCACCTGGTTTTGTGCAAGGATTACAAGTGATGATTTAGCAGAATTATCATATAGAAGGATGAGAAGAGAAACTAGAGAGAACAAAATCCAGCCCTGGTTATACCCCTGCCGTTATGTCAAATTGCATTGATTGTTCTAAACTTAGTTCCAGATCCTGTGACTTTTTGTTTGTTTGTTTTCCTTGGCTGTGTGATATGTCATCACTCCATCCATCTTTCCCCCTTAGCCTCAATGCTGGGATTGTTGTTAGCAGGTAGATAAGAATCTATACTTGGGGTGGGTGCAGTGGCTCATGCCTGTAATCCCAGTACTTTGGGAGGTCAAGGTGGGGGATCACTTGAGACCAGGAGTTTGAGATCACCTTGTCCAACTAGATGAGAACCCTGTCTCTATTAAAATAACAAAAACAAAAAAAAAAAAAATAAATAGGCCCAGACATGGTGGCGCACTACTGTAAATTCCGGAGCTACTTGGGAGGGCTGAGGCAGGAGAATCACTTGAAAAGCGGACGGGAGGTGGGAGGTTGGCAGTGAGCCGAGCCAGCAGGACCAAACGTGCAACTCGCAGGCCCTGGCGCGATCAGAGTAGAGCACTCGCGCTCCAAAAAAAAAAAAAGAGAATCCACACGCAGGTTGTCCTGCCCGAGGGCTTGCTCCTGAGGCCTGCGCTGCCTCTCCGAGGGCTTGTAGGCTCATCGAGGCATGTTCAAAATCAATTCTCTTCTTGATTCCTATGACGCCCTACGCAGGCGGGCGTGGCATTCTTCTTCTGTCATTCTTCACGTCACTGATTCACCATTCTCTGACCCAGCAGATTAACCTTGATCTTTAGGACCCAAACGGCTATTAAGTGGCAGCTTAGGCCCTTGACACCTTATGACGCTCTGGCTTCAGTGTCACTCAAATTTTTCACTCAACCCTCGTTGCGTCATTTTCAACCAATAGTACTAGATAGAGCGTTTCTGCGATTCGTCTTATAGTACATCGTGTACATGTAATTTGGTGTTTAGCTTTCACTCTCAAAAGCAGGGGCCAGCACGATTTTCTTTTATAGGGCCGAGCGCCGATTTGTGTTGGTTTTTTCCTTCCGCTATACGAAAAAAGAGGCGTCAGTGGAAGATGATGAGTCTGTTCCCAGAGAACTGTTGAATTTCAGATGACGCTTACTCGCAGACACTTTAGCTGGTCAGAGTTGCCTTTTCCTATAGTATAGGATCTCCTGCCTGTTGTTGTCTTCCGCATGTTTATCCTTTCAGCGACACAAGCAACGTGCTCAGCGCGCCCGCGCGCGACGCGCGCTGGGCGCTGGGCGCGGACAGCAGGTGTGTGAGCATCCTTCTCCATTTCTGCCTGGGCTTGGGAAAATGTTCGGGCCCAGACCCCGCATTCTTGTTATATTCTAATATTTGAGTATGTTAGGCTTAGAGGCAGCGCGGAGATGAGACGAGATACGCGCCGCCTGGGA